GTTCGTCGGAGGCGCGGAAGCGGCTTAGCGGCGCGAGTGCGAGACGGTGCTTGAGGGTGATGTTCCCTATAGATAACGGCTTGAATAGATTTGACGAGGCCATTTTTTATGAGTTCTTAGTCGGGTCGGCAAATGACGGTAAGTTGATTGGTGATTTGGGTGTTAGACTTGCAAATATTCAGCTCCTAGCTTTGAATCACTTTCTAAATGAAAACACGGGCGGACTCGCATCTCTTAATGGATTCTGGCTTCAATGAAATTCAACGCAGCATACGCACAATTACGTATTGCAGCGTACCTTGACTATCATGACTAATTGTCGCGCCGATTTACTCATGTAAACCGCATTTATAAGCACCGGAATCTCGAGCGGGCGTAGTCGCGGCACTTCATTGCGAACAGGCGCTAATCTCTGATGCAAGGGACAGGTACAGCCAGGAGCCTCGTAAGCAACCTTCTGATTGATTATGTTCCAGATTTTTCAGCGGCCACACTGAGGGGTGATTCGAGAGTAGCGTCGCCTTCATAGATAACCAGAACTTTTGAGCTTTCAGACCCCTTTGAATAGGCAGATGCCGGCATACAGACCGAGTGGGTTGTATATGGCCACCCAAGCTCGACTCTTCTGGAAAACTTTGAATGGACATCACGACTGGTACAAGGGCACAAGAAGGGCCAATTGCGACTCGAATGAAGAGACTGCTCACAAAGAGAGTAAGAGATTCCAAGGAAGCTGTATTTTCCTATATGAATAGTGATATCACATTATGAGACTCATTAGTAGCTAAGGTCTTTTTGGACATATTCATTGTTCTTGAGATTGTCCTGCCTGTCCTCCGGAAGGGCTCGTGTGTCAGAGAAATTTTGACTCTGTTAGTTCAAACACTGAACCGACACTGTATAACTCTATATGAATAGTGATATCACATTTTGAGACTCATTATTAGCTAAGGTCTTTTTGGACATATTCATTGTTCTTGAGATTGTCCTGCCTGTCCTCCGGAAGGGCTCGTGTGTCAGAGAAATTTTGACTCTGTTAGTTCAAACACACAAGCGGTTTTTTGCCTTTTTCTCCGACAGTTCCAAGGTAACAAGCAATTGTGGACGAAACGGCCGCAGGCCAATAGAGATTTGTGTGCCGACCTGACTAACATACACGTGTAACGGCAGAATAAGTGTCGAGGCTGTAGACAATTGCGACACATGAAAGACGAACCTGGGCGCAGGGAAGTGAGAAAATCCGTGGTGCCTGTCAACTTGTGCATGAACGCGGCCACAATCGAATCAACTTGTGCTTGAACGCGGCCACAATCGAGGCTAGGAATTTTGTGTGTCAACTTATGACGGTGGGCAGCGATGGCATCGCCCTCAGCGCCGATGGGTATTTACACTTTTCCAGTCCCGACTCCTTCCCGGTTATGTCTTTTTTGCGTCAGAAACAAACGACTGCCGGCTCAAGAGTCAAGATCAACGGCATTACTAACTCTCGCGTGCAGCAAGGACCTCTATTTCAGCGTCATTAGCGGACAAGAGCTTTGGTCGGTGCCGACGGCGGCCTTGCGCGCGCGCGACGCACACAGCGAGCTGGTTGTGCAGGCGAGCGTGTCGGCCAAGGGCCAAAAGGGCGTCGGGGACGGCATGGAGACGGACAGCAATGGCATCATTTACACGGGCCATGTCGAGCAGGAGGCCATCGTGTCCTACGCGCCCGGCAACGCGACGGTCCAGACGTTCCTGCGCGATCCTCGGATCAGCTGGGTTGATACCCTGAGCGTCGGCTGGGATGGCTCCTTGTACTTTACCGTGAACCAAGTCCACCTCATGCCCGGCTTCTTCCCGGGCGCTGAGCGTCGCCAGCATCCGTATGTGCTGTTTAAGACGCAGCTGCCTGATGGTGGTAAAAAGGTTGGCACATGAGAGGGCGACGCGCATTATGCGTACTGGCGGGGCGTTTCTAATAAATAGAATATACCGTAATACCACATTTACATTCTTACGTTTTATTCTTTCAATATTCTGTTATAAACACATTCAACAGTGGATCCTTGGTTTGCAGAGCCTCCCAATCTGCCATGCTGCATATTGCTGCATCAGCCGCTAGAAGCCTGACCTAATGAGCAATGAGGCGCGGGCTGACAGCCTGCGCCGGATCATTTGCCGCAGCTGAGGGAAATAGATGAGGAATTATGTGTGGCTGGGCATAAGCCGGTTGTTGGTCTCTTGCCGCTTCCATCTACATGTACCGACGTCGCCATATCTGATTCTTTGGTCCTTGAACTGCTGCCAGCCACAACGTCATCGACTGGTCATGCTCGCCCTCTTCCGTCAAGTATAAATTTACCTCTGCTCAACTAGAAATCTATTCCGCCCTTGCAAACGACTCCCAAGGTGATGCCTCCAGTTCAACATGTTCTGCGCCAGAGCCACCGCAAATCCACACGGGGCTGCCAGACATGCAAACGCCGACACGTCAAGTGTGACGAATTGCAACCAAATTGGCAAGTCGACGCTTTTGGTCATATTAGCAGCCAAACTAACGCCCTTGGTAGTCAAAAATGCATCAACAGCCGGCGGGAATGTGTATATCTCGTCGGCCGCCGTGACGCACCGAGCCCAGGCGCCAACGCAACCCTAACGTGGCCCAATGTCATTGAACAAGCTTGCCATGAGTGGAAGCAGTCTGGCAAACCGCCGTTCCCGCGTCTAGCTATCGCCGCAGCACCGAGCTGGCACAACATGCCGCTGGCTGACTTGCGGTACCTGTACCACATGGCCCTTGTCGATGGGATGCTCGCCTTGAGCGGAACGAGCAACATGTGCCTCTTGTGGGGTGAGATGCGAATGTACGATCAAGCCTGTACTGTCGGGAAGCACAAGAACGGATCTAACTGGGATTCTCTGTTAGAATGATACAACTAGCAACGAGCTTTGGCTTTGTGGCGCACACGCTTGCGGCCACGTCTGCCGAACGGCTGGCCGTCTTGACCAAATCCCAGGAAGCAGCCAACGATGGTGCTAGATACCGCGCGCTGGCTCTCCATGGGCTGAGCAGAGAGATACAGTTGTTTTCCAAGAGCAACGCGGATGCAATACTGAGCGCGTACCTCGGCTGCTCATTCATCATGGCCGACTAGTGCGTTTGTTCCTGGATACACCGCAGACTTGCTCCCTATGCTAACAACCCTTAAACAGTCGAGCCGTCATGACGGTGACAAAGAGTATAGTCTTGGTAGGAGGATGACACGGTATAGTAGCCGGATTCTTTCCATGTTCTAACGCATTGCGTAGGTGGCTGCGCGCATGCAGCACTGGTCAGAGCAGTCTGCGTTTCGCCATCTTTTCGACTACGACCGCCTACACCGGTTACAAGACATCAACGCCGAATCACCCGCGGCAGAAACGAGACCACGGCCAAGGCAGCAAAATGTAGACAATTTGCTAGCCGAGGGAGTGCATGCTTTGAACAAGCTATCGAATTGCCTGCGGCACAATCTTCATCTGGCTGCCGTGGTTCGACAACTGCGCGACGTGTTGAGGCTGGTGGACGATAAGCAAAACGCTGACATCCCAACCCCAACGCAATACCGCTTGATCCATCCATTCATATCCTGGTACAACCGAAATGAAGCTTCTTCCTACGTAGCTATTAGCGAGAGGGACCCTGCGGTGCTTGTTTTCCTGCTGTACATGTACTCGGCATTTGTATCCCTGGCGGTGGCGTTGCCCGCGACAAACCTGCCGCTGTTTACCGCGATTCGATTCCGAGCCATTGTCGAGATCAATCGGGCAATGGAGGAAAGAGCGGGTTTCCCGTGTACTGGCTGCAATGTCTTTCACCAGGATCACGAGCTCGCGCCGCTTCCGTTATTGGCCATGCAGGTATACCAGTCTCATAGAGCTGTATACTGAGCTGGGCCATAACTATCTTGGTGGAGCAATATATCATTGATAAGTCGGTCATATGTAGAGCGATTCTTTGAAATATACGTTGGAATACCGTGACCCCCTGATTTGGATAGGCAGCATATATTTCGTTGTTACATGGTAGGCCAAATACCACAATGCCACGAGATCAATTGTCTTGGGGTGTGATGAAGAAGGAATTTCTGGCTTGGGATCTAATAGTAACTTGATGTATTTGATTGTCTCTCTATCGCATGATGTTGGTTTCTCACCTCGTTGGAGCATGGCGGAGCAGGTCGTCGTTAAACTCCATGTCCGTTTGGCCACTGGCACACCAGACATCGAACCTTTAGGACAAGAGCCAGGGCACAGGCGTGGGAAATACATGGATGACGTGGGCTGAGCAGCAAGGGGAAAGAATTGACATTTGAAGCATTTCCCATCTTCTCTGTCTTTCAAGTCCATGCTTGGACATCCCTCAAGGCATGCCGTAGCGTGCTTACCTGGAGGCATTAATACTTGCGAAAACTGTGTAAATGTTGGTTGTTCCAGAAAAGATACCTCTCCCTACGCCCTCCGTTTAGTTCCCACCTGATGCTTACCATGGACACGTAGTCATGGAGGCATATGTCTCCAAGAGTCTATCCACGATTATCACAGGCCTCAATATACAATATTCGCTTGTTGGAATCCCTAATAGATACCTTCGAGTCTATTAGCGCCTCTGTAATGCCCTCTTCAATGCTGTATTGCAAATGCCGCCATCGGGAAGGACATGTCAAGTATAGCAGTGACGTAGCCCCCCAAGCTTCCGACTTGCGATTCACTTGGCTAGCTTTTCGCCATCAAGGTTCGCCAGAATTATTGCAAAGACAGGTCGAGGAGCTATTAATTCACGCATGTCACACCTGGTGCGCTTCTTTGTCCTCCCCTATGCTAAGGTTCTTACTGCACTGCAATTCTCTCCCCCTTACCGTAAAAGAGGCCGGGTGTTTGTTTATTTGTGTAGAATTCTGTGCAATTCTGCGCCCCCCTCCCCCCC